GCGCATAAATTAAAATGGCGTCAAACCACAAACCCACGCGGTGCTGCAGCTGGAATTTGTCTTCCATTGTTCTCTGTCCTTGCTTCTTTTTGAAGCCACATGTCCAGTCCTTGACTCAAGCTCAAAGGAATGATGTAAAAGCCAACTTGAACGGCTCTCTGGTTTAAAAGATTTCCGTGTTGATAGAAGAAAGATGAAAGAAGAAGAAGAAGAAGAAAAAGTCTGAAGAATTTTGCAGAAATTTGAATTTGGGCCTATTCTCCAGAAATGCTCCCGCTGCATTACAGTCCACTCTAAAGGTACCAAGAGAATCGCTCAGTGAAGGAGAGCTCATCTAAGCCATTTATAAGGCTGTACAACGTAAGATAAAAGAGTTGTGAGTGTTTGAAAATCATAAAAACGGCCGCCATCTTGAAAAATCAACCTCAATCCTACATATAGGCTACCGCCTATATAATACTTTAAAAATGTACATAAATAATTTTATTCAGCCACTCCCTATATAACTTATAGCTAAAATCTTAAGTCAATTCATACAATAATAATAATCACTATTGTACATTATCACCTGAATCCAATTGTACTGGTTTGTATCTAATAACAAGCATTCATTCAGTGGTTTATCATGACTATCTGTTCCTCCAATCACTACTAGTGTAGGTGAGGTAGAGACACCATTGATAATAGTACTGACTATATCTCTCTTTAGACCACAGTCTATCATTAGGTATTGATCCTTTGTTAAGACACTCCCAGTTCTAGAAACATAATGACCGTCATGATAATGTATTCATATGCATGTAGTATTACAATGAAGTGTGAATATAGTTTTGCTAAAAAATATGCTACTGCAACTTACTATTGTAGTATCATTATGTGAAAACTCAAACAAGTAGATGCTGTTAGTAGGTACACTGATATCACCATCATTTACTGCTCCTCCATACATAATTCCTTTATTATGGCTGATCTTTTCAATTATTAAGTCTTTAGTTGGTAAAAAACACTGTCCAATAACACATGGAATAATCCATTGTCCTAAAAATAATTACCAGTACATGTTGTCGTAATAATAGATGCAATTTTTTTACTATGATGTACCATAGGGTGCCTTTTTTAAGGGCTGTAAATTTTGTGGATTTTGAGATTTTCTGAAGATTCACAAAAATTACTACTGCTAAAATCAAATTTTTAAGGCTAAAGATGGCGATGGTATAAATTTACAAAAATTAAATCCAAAAAAAATAGATTTTAAGGCAAATTCGTAAAATTTACAGCCCTCAAAAAAGGTGTCCTATGGTAATCAAGAGTACATAATAGGTAACTAATAATTAACCATAATGATTATAAAGTGTTAATTACCGCTAGACAGGTTGTAGATATTCTGTTCATTAGTACTAAGACGATCGAGCCGATAAGGTATCTTATTGTATTCAAACTGATGATGACAGTGTGTAGTACTAGTAGTTGATACTGGAGCAAGTCCACCAATAACCAGTAATTGTTGAGGTCCACCTTCACTTCCCATTGCTATCATACCACCATAGCCTCTCTTAGTCACATAATTTTCACCAGCTGGTTGTAATTTTTTCCATTGAAGAGTTAAAGTGTCTAAACAGTTCAAACTGTTATGATAACAGCTACCATGGCCACAAAAACCACCAAAATAATAAATATTCTTATTAATGACAGTACAGGAGACTCCTCTGATTCCCAATGGAGGAGTACCACTAGTAGGTCGAGAGGACCAAACACCAGATGAAATGTCAAACTTATCAATAACAGAAATATGCTCTCTCTTTTTAGGAAAATCACCGCTGCAATCGCATTCTGATTCATCTAATCCTTGGTCCCCTCCCCAGCAGTATAGGACCTCTCCTACTACTGCAGTTGTGTGTCGAGCCCTCCAATTAAATCTATACTGATCTAAAGAATAATAACAAAGCATTAAATGAAAGAGAGTTGCTTTATTTTCAAAGAACTGACCTTTTTCATCTACATTTCTGTCCATCTTTACGAGCTATCTACGAGCCAACGCCCTAAAAATTATCACCTGATCCAGGCCCACCCAACATTTTACTGCTCATGCAGCACAGTTCAACAATGGTAGCTGTTATTCATTTATGCTACTATATGACCTCCTGGTCAGTTCCTAGTAAATGATTTCTTAATTTATTTATTATTTTTATTTGTAGGTTTATAATGGCAGTAAACCTTGAGTGTCTTGTGGTTCTGATATGACACAAAGTTCATTACATTGGGAAGGATCGAGGTCAAGGCTGCCGTAAGAAAGTGAAGATGAACAGGTGATGTAGTAATAGATGTAGTGACACATGTTTGTTGCTTTACATAGAAATGATAGATAAAAGCATGTAAATTCTGGCATTGAAGGAGGTTAAGACAGTTTAAAAAAATGAAAGAGCTGGAGTCTATGAAAGAACAATATAGTGGAGTTAATAACTAGATTTAGACAAAATGTTGTAGTCTAGTAATATAAGTGTTATAATCATGTATGTAAAAATATTAAAACATGATCAGCAGAAAAATAAACATTTGTATGTCCTTTACTTGATTGCTTTACTGATGTTCATTGATAGACATGTCATATTTCGAAGGTAGGCACTAAAGATGATATAAAAATTATACGTTATGATA